GCATATTCCTCTATGTTAGAAGCCTTTCTGTTCTTTTTAAGCACCTTGAACTTCCCATTTTCCTAGCTGGACTGCTCAGCTCTTCCTTCCAAATGGAAAATGCAGACACTATTATGACTATCCAGCAGCCTCCAGAAGCAAACTTTTTATTCTTAATTGCACCTGAATGGATTTTTAAATGACATTGTGACACTTTTACACACAAAATCCAAGGGAAAATTGTAAAATTGAAAAGAAAGAACTGTATAGCATAATCAACAGCTCAGTTAACTTCCTTCTTACCTCATTGATGCGGATCTGCTGAAGCTCTTGTTCGGCTGCAGTCAGAGGAGCTGGAGCAGAGGAAGAAGACACATGCTTCTGGTAGCCACTGAGCGAGATGTCTTCCTGTGGCCCAACAGAAAAGCAACCGCAGGAAAAGCATGAAACTGGTTCAAGGTAGAACACACCGTGCATTCATAAAGTGGCTGCCTTAATTGGTTGGGTTAGCCACAAAAGTGCCAACCGATGCAAACTGGCAAAGTTGTTCTTTACCACCTCCTCTAGCCTTGCAAAACGTTGTCTATTAAAGGGGCATCAAACTTGCATTGTCATGGTGGCACCATGTGACATATCGCGACTCCCCCCCCCCTTTTGCTAAACCAGGCATGGGTGCGGCTAGTGCGTGATGCATCCGGCCTGCAGGCTGCGAGTTTGACAACCCTGGTCTATTATCCCAGCTTTTTGTTTGTTTGTTTAAAAGGTGCAGGGAAGAGCTCCAAAAAAAAAGGACTGATCTAAAGCTCTATAGTTTTCACTTTGTAAGAAGGCATATGGGAGGTCTATGAGGGCCAAGAGACCTTATCTGAAGTACAAATTATGCTTGTGGTTGGCATTCTGTAACACACTAGTTTTCCTATTCATTTTTAAAAATCAAAATATTTTTTAAAAATCAGATGGAAGTAGGGAGGCTGGGGAACACTGAAGGAAAGCCGTTGTAAGTCATGGGTACCACTTAAGCTTGCATTATATAACGATCAATGAGCCATGACACGTTTCTCAACGGATCTTCTTAAATGAATCTCCACTTGCTGAGGTCATCTGAGGTGATTTGCCGTCAGCTGCCTCAAGATTGCCTTTATCCAGTCAGGGTTGGGCCTTGACTCTGCCCAGACTGGAAGCTTTGGCTGACCCAAAACTGAGAAGCCAAGTTGATTATGAGAGGAATGTGAGGAAATCATATTACAGTTGTGTTTATTGCACTACACTGGTGCTAACTCATTTCTGGATCAAATACCAATTGCTGGTCATTACTTTAAAATTATATATGGCAATAGAGATCTGTAAGAATATCACTATCAAGCTATTCCTCCATATTTCCTGAGACCACCTGAGAAAGTTCACCTTAAGGATTGGTGGTGACCCAAATATTATAAAGATGAATTTTAAGGCCCTTCTCTATTGCTGCTTTACATCGTTAAAATGCATTCCCTTTAGAGTTGAGCAGTCCAACACATTTATTAGCTTTTTACAAAGTCCTCAAAACACATCTTTATGTCTTTTCACTGTTGATTGAATGTTCACTTTATTAATTTTAAGGGTTTTAGTTCTTTTTATGGGTATTAATGCTTTGATTTTACATTTGTTTTACAGTACTGTAAGCCACAAAGAGACTTCAGTGATCCAGAGGTCTATTAACTTCAGTAAATAAGCAATAACAAAAGAACTCTACCAGCTGGTGGATTTAGGATAGCTGCTCACAAATCATATTGAATGACAAAGCTTTGCAGAGAGTCATCTAGAAGATTTCACTTATAGTACTGTATAATCTAATGTACTATCATTTGATGTGCAACACTGCCCCCTTCTGGCACTTTTAAAAACGTTCCAGGTCTGTAAGCATTTTTGCTGGGTTTTCAGGACATGTAAAATGAGTTTAGCTAGTCAAATTTTATATTGGACAGAATACAAAGCATTTAGATAATCAATAACTACTAGTCAACAGCCGGACCTATGCCAATCCACAATATGAAACTCTTCCTTTCTTTTTATCTTGTTATTTGCATTTGTAGGAAAGAGAATAGAGCAGGGAGGGGCTTAATGCAATGCATGCATTCCAATTTCTACGTTTCCAATTTAGTGAATTAGTATAGTCAGCAAAGCAGTCTAAAGATTTTGGGACCAAGCTTCCTCTGGACTGAATGTTATAAACAAACAAAATAACAGAAAGGACAAAAGAAAAGCAGGCTAGAGACAAGCAATCTTCCAGAGGATATAAGTGCTCACCTCTGCTCTTATGGCACAAACAGATCACCTTGTGCATATCTTTCTCTTATGTCAATGTCTCAAATCATGTACTCAAGTCCCTGCACTCATTTTATCAGCATATGTCAAACTGAGCATAGGCTGCAAGGGTGAATCAGAGAGGACTTCTTATGTACGTTCATATGGCAAAGCAGAAGACACAGCTCAAGTTCTTTTTCTATGCAGCCAGAATCCTTGCAATCTTACAGCAAGCACTTCAAAATGAGTAGATGATAAATTCTAGTCTGGCTTTTAGAAGCAGGACTCCAAACCTCAACAGTTATGACTCTGATTGTTCTGATCTCAGTGGATACGACCAGCTGCCATACCTTTGCTGTCCCAAAGAGTTCATCTTTAATGTGTCCTCCTCCAAACTCTTTCTTTACTGTCGCTCGGGTTGCTGCATAGAGCATCTTGAGTCTAACCTACAGAGAGAAAGAGAAGAGAATATTAACTATAGGAAGACATTCATGGCTGCTAACTATCAAAAGTCCAATTCACAGTGGCTAAAAAGAAAAGAGTTGCAGGAATATTTATGGTTCTGAAACCCATCTGAAAGGATCTTTCCATATTTGGAAATACAGGGTCTTTTAAAGCCAACATTTATATCAAAATGAATCCATCTTTCCCAGAAGCACTTTCTGAATGTGTTGTTGCAATTCCCAGAATTCAGCCCGGCCATGCTGAAAATTCTGAGAGCTGAAATTCATACAACTGGAGTTCTTTCCTCCAAGACTGACAAAAGCTATGTTTGCTTTTGAATAATCACAGATTGCTTAATCCAGTGTTTTTCAACCTTTTTTGTGCAAAGGCACACTTTTTTCATGAAAAAAATCACGAGGCACACCACCATTAGAAAATGTTAATTTTTTAAAACTCTGTGCCTATATTGACTATATATAAAGTAATTCTCCCACGGCACACCTTACACTATGTCACGGCACACTAGTGTGCCGCGGCACAGTGGTTGAAAAACACTGGCTTAATCCATTATAACAAAACTAAACATTAACAACTCTTTGTGACAAGATTTGTAGTACTCAATGTTGCCATGTACATCTTTAGGACTGAATACTAATATAAATGGAAGGGAAGTATTTTTCTTTCCCTCGGGACTTCATTAAATAAATAGGCCTTTGAGCCAGCTCCTGATGACTCCATGGAAGGTCCATGTAGTTTTCTTGGCAGTTTAGCCGGCAACCTTGAGATTTCTCTGGTGCTCTTTCTCCAAGTACTAATGAGGCCTGATGTTTCCTTGACTCAGAGATTAGAGAAACCTGATTACATGCTGCAACATACTTGGGCAAACTTCATTACTTCTCATAAAGAAGTAATCCAGTATCATGGATGGACGGCACCATATTGTAGGCTTGTGAAACATGAGGCTGCATGTAAACACCTTTCCGAAGCTACTGCTTATGTAGCATGACAATAATGGGAAAAGAGGTCCCCTTGCTATGTGTAAGCTGCACTGGTTACCAGCTGCCTTCAGATGCAATTGAAGCATAAAGCTTAGCTATTTGAGAAATTAACTGTGTCCTGAAAATCTGCTTTCCTGTGCCCTGCAATGGACTTGGCTTGCTTCAGGTCCCATCAAGGTCACCTAGTGGGCATTTTCTGTCACTGCACTTTCCTTTTGGAAAAATCATCTCCCAAAGATTTGCATGGCCTTCCCACTTAACTCCTCCTCAACTCTTCTCTAAAAACCGGTTCTTCTCCCAAGCCTCTAGTTCAGATGACTGCAATTCCCCCTTTACTCCAGATCTAGAAGGGTTGTTTGAAAAGTTATTGTTTTATGGATATTGTTTTTGTGGAGTTGTTGCTCTTTTAATTTTGTGAAGCCACCCATAGTTATTAGAAGTTGGATGGCCTTGAAATTTAATAAACAAATGATGTAGTTTTTACTAATTTAGTGACTTCTAATGTTGGACTTTAATTTTCATAATCAACTAGTAAGATTGGTTAAAACAGCTCACATTTGAATTGTTTCGAATTCAGAATGCTCCATTTCAAAGTTGAAATCACACCAGAAACAATCTGCTTCAATTAATCTTCCCAATGATCTGTTGCGCTCCCATTTTGAAGGAGCCTGCATTGAATGAGAAATAACTTTCCCACATTTGTAACAACTGCTTCTAAACTAAGCAGCTTTCGTACTTGGTTACCATGGTCAAACTCTGTGCTGACTGGAAAGTTCCTGGCTGGCAGTGAAGGAGCTAGAGATTAAACCGATATAAGGCACCTGTAACCACCAACCATTAGCGGTTTTGGACTGGAGAAAGGAAGTAGAGCAACCTCAATGATGCTTCTGAAGAGCACTTTGCATACCTTTTATCGTTCAGCTTACCATCTAAACCTACTAGCAATAACCGGATGTTCTTGACCTGTATTCTGTCAATAGGAATAAATTGAAAGCTTACAGGAGAGTTGTCAGGTGACCAGGAGATGAAAAGCCACTCATAGCCCTGAGCGTTTTGGGTATCCAGGCGGTAAAGGATGTAGCATGGCTGCAGTTCATCTAGCAGAGGAAGCACAAAGGAATCGTAGTCCTTATCCCAGCGCCGAGATGGTTCTTTGGAGGCCCCAAGCACTAACTGCTCTGGAAGTCAAGGTAGGGTGAGAGAAGAAAGAATTAATGAGTAAGCAAAGGAGCCATTGCATTTGACACATCATTATGCATCTGATCTTTATTTAGAATTTGGATGGAGAACCTGAAGCCATCCTCCCATCTGCCGTAGACAATTTATTTAGTGGTGAAGGATGATGGGAGTCAACAATATTTATAGGGCAATAGATCTATCTTTATTCTGAGTAAAGGCTGGGGCACGACAGATCCCAAGACTTTCTTGTTAGGACTGTGAAAATCTGGGGTTTCCTTCCTTGTGGTAGCCCCCCAAATTTTGAAACACGTTTCCCGTGGAGAAATGTTAAACCCACTTTCCCTGCATTTCACAAGATAATCAGACCGAGTGTTTATCTTGTGTGCATACACATGGATCAAAACAATCCAATCTTTATTACGATCATAGGCAGCATGGTGTCCGTGTCTGTATCTTATTTTTTTACTGTTAGTGTTCTGATTTAGTTTTGATTCTTGCTTTGATGTTATCGCTCAAAGGCTTGACTGGTTGGGAACAGAGCAGGGTTTGTTAGTCAAACTTACTGCCAGTTTTCTTGGCATAAAACTTTAATGTGCATGATAATGAGAAAAGAATGAGGTCGGCCAAGAGTACACCAGTTCAATGTACTTAACGAGATAGACGTTAAGGGAATGAATATAAAACAATCTGTCACTGCTCTGCCAACAGCTTCACAGTTCTGAGACTTCAATGTTCAGGTTGTGCCCTCATGAAAATATGGACTTTCCCCTAAAGCTGCTAAGTCAACCTGATGACACCATGGTTGGCTTTTTCCTTAGAATAGATATTTTCTCTGCTCGTGATAGAACCCAGCAGCTCTCCTCCTTAGTTGGTTCTTATATGTGTGAAGAAGATAGCAATAGCAATAGCAGTAGACTTATATACCGCTTCATAGGCCTTTCAGGCCTCTCTAAGCGGTTTACAGAGAGTCAGCATATTGCCCCCAACAATCTGGGTCCTCATTTTACCCACCTCGGAAGGATGGAAGGCTGAGTCAACCCTGAGCCGGTGAGATTTGAACCGCTGACCTGCTGATCTAGCAGTAGCCTGCAGTGCTGCATTTAACCACTGCGCCACCTTGGCTCAAAGAACAGTCTAAAGGACAAGAATGTGTATGGAGATTCTCAGTCCTCCAGGTCATGGTTGTCCCAAAGGTGCTTTTATTCCCCAAGAGGCAACTGGACTTTCTGGTTTTTCTTTGAAGATGTTTCGCTTCTCATCCAAGAAGCTTCTTCAGCTCAGAGCTGTTTACAGTATTACACAGTTTTCTAAGATGACAAGATTGAGCAGAATGCTTTAGGAAGCACCGGATTTTATGATAACTCATTTTCCTATTTCTTCCTAATATACAGAAAATGAAAATGAGGTCCAGAAGGTCAAAGAGCTTGCCAGAATAACTTCTACATCTAACACCACAGTTACATGAAGGCAAGGAAAAGTTCTCAGAGTAATGCCCACTTTTTCCACTTTGTGAAACTCTGGGAAGCAGAACAATGCTTAGAAAAGGAACAAGAGGTTTTACTATAAAATAAAGGCGTGTTTCTCCAACTTGGCAACCTTAAGATGTACAGACCATTCATTTAAAAAATTGCCAAGTTGAAAAAACACATTTAAAGCATCCTTAGTGTTAATATAGAGCAGGGGTGTCAAATTCAAGGCCTGGGCCCAGATCCGGCCGCAGGGTGCTTAGATTTGGCCCGTGGGGCTGCCCTGGAAATAGCGAAGGACCGGCCCACAGTGCTTCTGCTAGTGAAAAGAGAGCTCGGGAGGGTTACACCTGACCCTCCCGAACTGTGTTTTCACTGGCAGAGGGTTGCAGGATGCCGTCCCAGAAGAAAACGGAGCTCAGGAGCCTGTTTTCGCTGGCAGAGTGCTTGGACCATCACAGGCGGCCACTTCTGACACGAGTGACATCAGGCCCACCATGGCCACCAAGATAAACCCAATCTGATGCAGCCCTCAATGAAATCAAGTTTGTCACCCCTGATATAGAGCTTTCCCTGCTTATTCCATTTCTCCCTTGTGGATACAGTCTGACATGCTCCACTGACCATTTTGCTGGGATGCTGACAGGTGATCCCTGGCAGCCCAGGATCTTCATAGGGACTAGTGGGGTGCTAGTGACAGCATGCCTCTTTCATGTTCCTGGGCACCTTTTTCTAGGGCCATTCTATATAGGGAGATGCATTAGCTCAAGTCAGGCTCTCTCTCTCTCTCTGTACCTGCTAGGCCAGGCTGAACAGCAGCTGACCACTGGTGGCAACAACGTTTGCTCAACTCCACAAAGCTGTTCATTGCGTCAGAGCGATCAAACATATATCCCTACAGTACGAAAAGGATAAACCCAGGAAAGTTGCATCACATATTCAGAATAGAAAGGCTTGGTTTCAAGGCTCATCTGACAGTCACGTTAGGAGCAACTTCATTGCACGGTAGGGCAGGAATTCAAAAACAAATTCCGCCCTTGTAACTAAACATCCCAAAGGACGTAATGACTTGGGAAAAACAAAAACAAACCCAAGATAATTCTACCTGCATACTCCCCCCCACCACCACCCCTCTTTCAATTTAAACATGTCCGATTGTTGGAGAGGGCCTGGACAAAACTCTGCAGTTTTCTTGGCAAGGTTTTTCAGAAGTGGGTTGCTGTTGCCACCTGTCTAGGCTGAGAGAAAGGGACTAGCCCAAGGCGACCCAGCTGGTTTTGTGCTTAAAGCAGAATGATAGAATAACAGAGTTGGAAGAGACCTTGTAGGTCATCTAGTCCAGTGGTCTCCAACCTTGGCAACTTTAAGACTTGTGGACTTTAACTCCCAGAGTTCCTCAGCCAGCAAAGCTGAGTTGAAGTCCACAGGTCTTAAAGTTGCCAAGGTTGGAGACCACTGATCTAGTCCAACCGTCTGCTCAAGCAAGAGACCTTGTACCATTTCTGACAGGTGGCTCTCCACTGACGAAGCACCCACAACTTCAGAAGGCAAGCTGTTCCATGAGTTGATTGTTCTCACTGTTAGAAAAATTCTCCTTATTTCTAGTTTGACTTTCTCCTTGATCAGTTTCCATCCATTATTCCTTGTCTGGCCTTCAAGTGCTTTGGAAAATCAATTGACCCCCTCTTCTCTGTGACAGCCCCTCAAATATTGGAACACTGCTATCATATTGCCCCTGGTCCTTCTCTTCATTAGACTATCCATGCCCAGTTCCTGCAACCGTTCTTCATATGCTTTAGCTTTTAGTCCCCTAATCAACTTCGTTGCTCTTCTCTGTACCCTTTCTAGAGTCTCAACATCTTTTTTAAAATAGTTTTAAAACTCCTTGTACACATTCTATATTCCATTTCCCCCAAAGTATATTTCAAAATGTACAGACCTGGATGGGCCTCAAACATTCAGATAAATATGAAAAATAATTCAGCAAAAAGTAATTTCAAATATACAGTTTTCAAGTCTAGGTTGACACATCATGTAACATCATCATTACTTTTGCCCATGTTTAAAACAAGCCATTAAAAATACTAACTCCTAAATCATGATTTATAAAGTACAACAACATCTCACCAAATCACCTAAGATATTATTGATGGCTTGAAATCCTCTCATCCTGAAAAGTAGCATTTATTCTATAAAGTTAGTTTATCTGAGCTTATTATTACCCCCTTATTAGCCAATCCAATCGATGTAGGACTATATATTTAAAAAAACATAAACCATCTCTCTCTCTCTCTTACTCATTCACTCTCTCTCACACACACACAGACACACACTTCTCTAACAACCTCTTTTGAAGGGGCTCTTTGCCATCTTTTTCTTGATAGCATCTTGGTAGTGGACATAACTCTCTCCCTGATCTCTGCTGTTTTGAATCCCAGCTAATGGAAAAACTGCTGTTTGATTGACACCCAAGGGCAGTCAAGGGTTTGTCATCTTCCCTGAGTCTCCAGGTCGACATTCAGGGCTCAGAACCCCGGACAGCACCCTGGAGTTCGGGGGAGCTCGGTGAATTTTTTTAAAGAGGATTCGGGTTAATGTCATGATTACAAGTAATACCTCCAATGAAAGAAGACTCAGAGGCTTGAGTTTCTTCAAAGTTCCATTTTTATTAGAGATGCCATATTGGCACATCTGGGAAAACCCAAATCTGAAAGCTTCCAGATTTTCCCCAACCAAATAAAAGTCCAAGTCCCTGCCCCAGCACCCACACGTCCATCACATGGTCTAATCAGGCACCGTCCTAACTGGAGATGCCTCCCAGTCACACCACTCCAGGTGCAGGGCAAAATGTCCTTGACTCTCTGAGAAAGGAATGTTATTTTGACTATATATCTCTCATACTCAGTGTAATCCCCCCTCACATTTTCCCACAGCATTAAATGTGGCGGGCCTGAAGGCCCAATGCAAAAGATGGCTTCCAGGCCCGACAGGGTTATTTTTACAATCTTTGCTTTTCCTATCTTATTTGCTCTTTTTGTTTGCTTGTTCTCTTTTGTCCTTTTTCTTCTTTTCCTTTGTTCCTTTTTTCACCCAGCCATCCTTTGAATCTCAAGTGCTGACAAGTTACTTCTTCAAGGTAGCCTCAGGTGCCTGCTTTAAAAGGTCCTGTCCCTCCTCTTCCCACGCCTATATGCAAATCATGTCATGTAATTTTGCTGTCTGAGGCCAGCTGGCTTCCTTTCTAGGAGTGGCAAGGGGACGGAAGGAAGGAATAAATATGGAAAACACTAGGTGTACTGAACCACCAATGATATGAATATGGAGCAGGTGCCCTCTGAAGAGCCAGGCATAGAACCCTAGGGGCATCTAGACTGCTTTACAATTGGGACATCTTGTTTTTCTGTTTTGCTAGCGCACCTTTGGGGCAAATCCATAGATGTTATTATCCTGTGCTTGATGTGCAACTCTTAATTATTTCGATGCGAAGGACACTGAATAATCACAGAAAGGCATCTAGGTAAGCTGCATTTGGT